GCCATTATGTTTATATTTCAGAATTTCGACTACAGGTGTCGTCAATGTCCCATGGACTACAAACCTCTTCTATCCTACGCTTTTCACATATGTCGTAATATTAAATAACTCTCACAGTACTAAGTTACCGGGCTCTAAATTTTGAGAGTTGTGGAATCAAAAACATTTTGTTTTTAAAAGTGTTTGCAGCTTCAGATAAGCATGTACTTGGGATTTGTGCCTCTTTGGAATCGCAGACACTTTTTTAAGAGTGCTTGAAATTCTAAGGGTACTTTTGATGTGCGTAGGTTTTAAGGACCCCTCTCAAAGAGCCTTAGAAATCAGCAACACTTTATTTTACATTTGACTAGATGATTAGAATAAGTTTTTGTTTACTATCTAGAAACTGAAACTGAATTGTACTCTCACAGTACTTGGTATATTTGTTTTAAGAGCAATCTTGTGTATCTATAGGCTCCAAATCCTCGAAATGCTTGTTTGTTTGCTTAAAAATTGGAAGCCCTTAGCTTTTGAGAGCTACAAATGTGCAAGTAATTGTGTCTCTTTGGAATCGGATACACTTTTTAGGAGTTCTAAACATACTTTCAATGTGCTTAGGTTTTAAGGAACCTATTCATAGAGCCTTAGAAATTGAGAACATTTTGTTTTACAATACCTGGTGGCTACATGAGTACTTTTTGTTTGATTAGGCTTTGAGTGTTTATATTTGTTTACTATCTAGGAAGAATTTGAAACTGAATTCTGAAATATGCATAAACATTGACGTTTTTCAAGAGATGTTAAAATGATAGTTATGGCACACCTTGCAGTTGGGTATTAGTTCTACCTAAAACATAGATAGGCAATTATTCTTCAATCTTTAATTGTAGGTGACCGTTACAGAAAAAGAATAATAACATGTTACTTTATATAAAAGTAGTCAGTTATATAAATTTTAAAAATGATTGATAGAATTGCACGAATAATTGCCTTTAAGTAGAACATAGTTCTTTGATTTAAAATAGGTAATTTGCATTACATTCCTGATATACAGGGTGTTCCGTAATGATGTTCCAATATTTTAAAAGTATGTTCTAACAACCATTTAAAAAGGGGGGGGGGTTCTTTTAAAATTTTGCAATTTAGGTCCTTTTTTTAAACGGGTTCTCTTGTATTAAAACATTTATTTTTTTTGTACGTAAACTGTTGAATTAGCGAAAAAATTACAAGAGTGAAAAAAGTGTCTTAATTCCGTGTAGTACTTAGTTGGCTTTTAAAGAAAATAGTTCTAAAAGAATTTTTACTCTTTAAAAACAAACTGAAAGAGGATACACCATCACAAAATACGGTTCGACAAATTGCACAATTTTATCAGAAAACCACCGTGTTGAAATATTGGATCATTGCGGAAGACCCTGTATTTTTGCCAAAAATGCTCTGCATTTTCGTAACGACCATATTTTCAAAATATTTTTAATTGAAGAGAAAACATGTTATTAATTTTGTTAGACTTTATTAGCGATATATTTTGAAAATCGTGAGAATACAAAATTAAAATATACCGGGTGTTCAAATTAAAGTGTTACAGCTAAATACCGCCTATTATAAAAAAAACGTTTCAGACGAAAGTATTATAGTTTTGTGGGGAAAAAATTTTGGCTAAAATTGTTTTTTATAGCTAACCATAATATGGCCAACTGTTTTTTTCGTCCAACAAAATTTTCAAGTAGCTGTTACTCAAAAAGTAAAAGTCAAATAAAAAAATATTTCCATCAAAAGTTTCTTATTTTTTTATGTACTTTAAGAATATGTAAAAAAAAATCGGGTTCCCATTTAAAAAAACAAAGTCCACCTCGATATGGCCATATTATGGTCAGCTATAAAAAAATGAATTTAGCCAAAATGTTTCCCCCAAAAAACTATAAAACTTTTGTCTGAAACTTTTTTTTCTAAAATGCATATTTTCGGCGGTATTTAACTGTAACACTTTAATTTGAACACCCGGTATACTGCATCTTTATTTGAAGCAAAAATATTTTCAAAACTTGGCGTATTCGATACAGAAGATGTTAAACGCATAATTTTTTCAATATATTACATTAAGAGAATAGTACGATTTTTGCTTGACGAGATATTGAGACTGACCTGCGACAAATATACATAAGTTTGGTTAATTTTTTGTTATATAACAGTATAACACTGCCTAGTCTCATTCTTTCTACTCTAATCTAAACATACGACAGTGTAATAATAACTGATGTCGCAGGAATTTCGAGCACTGCTATACTATCTAATAAAATGTCTTATTCGATGTCGCGAGTTTCATGAGAGCTTATACTGAGTGTCAGACCGAAATTTTTACCTAGAATATACACTTAATCATTGTGAAAACCACCAAACGCTTTATTTAATCCTCCTGCGACAATATAAATTAGACGAGTTAAAAAAAAAGGTTTGGAGAAAAATGTATTTGGTGGTTTTCACTTAAGTCGTTTTATTTATATATACATCTTATTTTTCAAGATATACAGGTCCGGGAAGACGCCCTAATATATATATACGCTTTAATCTGTTAATATAACCAGCGAGCGAGCTTCAAAGGGCTTGTTGTTTTGAAAATTTCCGTACTAGTACCCTCGATATAAAAAATGGACAAACTGAAAGAATTAATGAATATATAGTAAAAATAATTATGTATTCTCGATGATTTCTAACTGGACTCTGTCCGTTGTAAGGTGTATCTGTATTACTGAAAGTATAGCTTCACTAGATTTAATATTGCAGTGAAATGACTCTACCAGACACAAAATGAACCCAAATAACCCTTCACAGCAGCAAAACTTAATAGGAAATTGCTTAGGGGTCTCGTATGGGACGCAACTAGCAAAGGAACAGGCTTTGGCGTTTATGAAGCTAATCTAAATGCAAAATCACCATTTTACTTAATTCTCTTAGACAGCCAAGCAACCCTAAAGGCTCTTGTTTCAAACAGAATCAAGTCAAAGCTAGTCTTGAACTACCTTGGAATACTTAATGATCTGATAGTACTAGGACATAAAGGTAACCAAAGTGATGAAAAGGCTGAATTTACCAACGAGGGATCTGAACTACTATTCACAGGACCCCCGACTCTGTAGGTAGGGAAAGTCTATTATCTCATGAACGATGCAACACTGCACGAATGTAGTTTGTCTGTAAATTCGTGCAGTTTTGCATCGTTCATGAGATAATCCTCTTTATTTGTGATAAGCAAAACCTCTACTCGACAGGCAGTGAACAGAAACAGAAAATTCATACTAAGAAGACCAAATCCATGCATGGTTGCTGAGGTACTACAGCTTGCTAGCCATATATTAACCATTATGGGATTACTAACGGCACACTTTATGTGATCGGATTGCACAATGCTACCACCTTGTGTAGACTCTGCATTGAAGCAGAACAAACCACATAGTACGTTATCTTCTAATGCGAAGCTCTAACTAGAATCAGAAAGAGTAACATTTGTTAGGGACCTAGTGGAAGTTACCAAAGTTACAGGATTATTCAGAGATAGTGCCTAATTAAACGAAAGCAAGCGAATAGATTAGTCCCAACTGCTAAAATTTAACCCTAACTGCTTATAATCAACAAAATTAAAGTTGCAGATGACGTGGTACATATAAAAATGAATACAGACAAACTAAGCTATACGAAGAACAAAAGAAAAGTGGTAAAGTACAACTGAATAGAAATATTAGACATTGTAATAATGGAAGACATCTACACCTATACAAAATGTTCTTTAGACTAATAGTCCTACTTTCGGTCAAATAATTAATCTATCAGCTATTCAGCAACATGTAGCTTATAGATGGTGACCTGAAGTCTGCGGAGATGGTTTATAAGAATTATAAGAAGTACCCATGTTGAAAAATAATGCTCTGATCACCTCTTGTGTGGTAATATTTAAAAATTGCAATTAGAAATCATCAAAGTGGTAACTGTAAATTATTTCAAGAAACAAATTAGGCAGGTACATCTTTCATATCGTTGGTACTACGAGTATAAATGTATTTTTGATGTGATTTGTTTAGTTGGTTCATGTTCATTCAAACAATACATCCGGATTAAAACAAATTTTTATTATTTTGCATTGTTTAGTTACTTAATTTACTGGCACATGCATGGTCACTTCATTATTTATAAATTGCTTCAAGTATATTTCAGTCTCTTTCTGTAATCTAATAGTTAATAATTTTTGGATTACAAAAATTTGGTGACGATCTCATAGTTCTTAAACCAGGTATTATATATTCATATATCAAAAATAAAAAAGAACGTCAAATCAAGTCCTATTTCAAAATAAGAGCTAGTACCTATAGCTATGGCGACATTTTGAAATAATGGACTTTATAAGAAATCTCAAATAAATAAGCTTTTTTACGTCTAAAAGTATGTAATAAAACCGATTTTAAAAACAGAATATATAATCGTCTCTTACAAAAATGTCAATCTGTATGATGTAAATGTTTGAATTCTTTTGAACCATTGAATCGTTTCGTTTTTGTTTTATTTAGAAGCCCTTCTCCGAAAACGTGCATGGCAACTTAGCTGCTAGTAGGAATTATTGAGGCCTCAATTCTTAGATCTTTAAATTTCGAAAATAAATTAAAATTCGAAACTATTCTATTCAATTCCTTATTTGGTGTATTAACAACAAAAATAATATTGTTTAATAGTAATAGAAATAAGAATTATTAGAAGAGATCGAGAAGTAGTTTCGGTCGAAATTGTTGAGGATTTGAGAATTAGGCCTCCTACTTTAAATAATGTTCACGTTCAAGTGTTTCACACATTTGTCCAAAATATATATTTTTTATTTATATATATTTATATTAATTTGGTTTGAAAAGTATTGTCAGTAATATATGTATATCGACAATAAGTGAAAATATTACTATTAGTAAAAAAATTAACGGTTTTAAGTTCTATTCTAGATCCTTTCACCACGTCGGAACAATATTCTTGTTTATTGTTGTGGCTTTGGTATAAAATTGATATGGAAAATGAACTATTTTTAATTAGAACAGTGGCATAGAAATACAAAAATAGTTAAATAACAAATCAACAATCTCTATGCAATTTTGGAAATGTAAAAATATAATCCTTAATTTCTTCTACGAAACTAAAAAAATGTATCCCCAAATCCCGAAAGTGAAAACAAATCAAAGAAAAATTGAAAAAGTTAAGAGATAAAGAAAAAATTAGTACACCGGTCAAGAATCGAACCTGGTTCTTCCGAGTATAGCCCACTGCACCTTTACCAATTTGACCAGCGGAACACATAGCTACGACAGTCAAATTTGTAAATTTGATCACATCAGATTCCGACTCTCGTCGGTAGGAACATTCTCCTCTTCTCCCCCAGCTCATTCAATTCTTCTTAAAGCCACCCTTGCAACATAGTCGAAGGATATTTAGCTTGTACTAGACTAAATTTTAAGATCCTTCTTTCTTCTTCCAGTGTTAAGTTTTCATTTCTCTGTTTACTTGCAAATTAGACTGAAATGAAACGTTCCAGTTATAGATAAAAGCCTGGTTTGTTTCCCATAGGCACACATTTTAATAGTTAAAAATATATACCACCAGAATAATACACATATTTAATTTCCAACTTATAAAATAAGAAAGGAATAACAACTATCAAACTGAGAGAAAATACTGAACCGATAAAAATGGAACGTCAAGTCAGACAGGGGGAATAAAATAATTATAAAACAGAAACGTCGGAACACAAGATAAATAAGAAGACAAGCTGGATTAAGATTGATGGAAATAGCTCAAGATGGAGAGAAATAGAAGAAAGAATGGGATGCATATGTCTAAAAATGTATGTTCTGGTTTAGAAGATGGTCCTGGTGAGTTATTCCAGCATTTCTGAGTCTCTTTATGACACTAGACAAGAGCTCTGGGCTATACAGACTCTGTGAGGCTTCTAAACAGTCCCATAACAATCTTCAAGTACAAAACTGATGAGTGAAATTAATAACCATCGCATCCTCGGCATGGTTTCAGACTCGTTAGTTCCCCGATATCACATAGAAAAGTCATACAGCGTCCTCATTCCAGAGAGAGACGTATGGATGCAAGGGGATAACCCCCTAGGTGGAGTATGCGTTGTCACGAACGGCTCCAAAACTGAAAAAGGGTAGGAGCGGAAGCTTTTGGGCCAGAACCCAAGAGTTTACATATCAATAAACCTGGGCTATGTGGCCACGATCTTTCTATAGAATTGGGAGCGAGATAGTTGATTAATTTTCTTCTCACTAACAAGACCTATAAAGAACTAAAGATAAAGGCCCTGAGCTCTAATCGAGTTGACTCAAAGCTGATTTGAACAAAATAACTTTGATCTGGGTTCCGAGGGTGTAACACTCACTAACTGGAGAGATAACCCAGTGCTAACTCATTCTAAGTCATTTACTCCCAACCCTTCCATGAACGCGTCTGCTCAGATCCATGGATGGAGTAGGACAGATCTACGCATTCTCACAGAACTGATGATAAAATATTGTCGTCTAGGTAACCATATTAGAAGAATAGCTCTGCTCCGCTTTGGAAAAAACTAGGTTCCTGATTTTTGGATTTACCCGACTGGACTCTACCGATTTTAAACTGGTCTCACCCAATTCAACCATGGCCTTCATCAAAAGCTGTGGCTTGTACGGTGGTCTGTAAGTTAGACATGAGCCACACTAGATTCATCTAGTTTAGAAGATGTTCTATGAATTTTATAGTATTGTTGAGTCTCTATGACACTAGAGAAGAGCCCTGGGATAAACAGAAGGTTTTTTATAGAGATTGGTTCAAATGATGAGCTGACAAATTTAACTTGAAAAAGGATTATTCGGCATTATTTTTGTATTTTTAATCTACCGTTCTAACGACGTTAGTGTATTAATAGAGTTTTCTTTTGGCACTAATGTTAACTTTTGGACAAAATTGTAGACACGTCTTACAGCAATTCTATTTAGTGGTATTGAAATCTAGACGCATTTATTGTATCGACGATGTACGATATCGTCTTTTGCAGTACAGAGTTTTCCGTTCACACACGGATACAATCGATTGTCACTCGACGATTCTAATTCAACAATTATTTAAAATCAATCTATATATCAACACCCGCGAACGATACGAGTGTTTATAAAACACAGTTCTGGCTCGGTCCGGGCCCTTCATAACATCTCTATCGTTACGAATATGAGAAAATGGTAAAAATGCATCAATTGCCTACGTTTTGTATTATTTGATCCATGTATAAAAAACTTATGCTAAACCGATTTGATGAGGATGTGAGCTGATGTTGTGCAAACTGTTGATGGTTTAAAAATATAGTTAAGGGCCAGCCCATGTCATATGGCACCATATAGTAATGTCTCTGTTTTTTGCAACTTTTTGTTTTTGTGTTGTACATATAAAAACAATTTTCCCGCATATTGGTAGAAATAACAGTAAAAAGTTTAGCAGGGACGATGAATCTGGTAGTTAAAATTTTTACATGAAACCATAGATTTTTATCATTAAAAATGTTTTCTCTGCTTCAACAGGCAAGTTCCAGAATTAAAATTAAAGCCTTTAAGGTTCATTTGCACCGCTAGTCGTTAAAAAATAAGTGAAGCTTAAAATGACATATTCCTAATAAAAATGTCATTTTAATCTTCGCTTATATCTTATCGACTGGCAGTGCAAATGACCCTAAGTGATACAAGATAGTCGACACTACAATTTGTGTAAAATATTTGACATGGACTGACCCTCTAGCAATTTATTTTGCGACAATCTAATTAATAGTTTGTAAAAATTTAGAAAAGTATCGATATTCTTCGTTATTGTCACTAAGCGACGAGTTTTTAGATTTAATATCGTATTGCTTGGTCTTTTTAACTTTTGATTTTCAAAAATGAAACTGATAGTAGGTAACGCATATAGATCCTACATTGTTGTATAATAAATCTAATGGCTGCTTAACATACCTTTTGATTTTCGCAAATTATTTATTTATTTTTTGTCTTTTCGTCACATTCATAACCACCGAGATACTATGAAGTCGCCAGTGCCGTAACTTATATATTTGTTTCACTTACACAAACCACATGTGTCAGTCACTTTATATCAGCTTCGTAGGCCTTTACGTGGAAGCCAAGAGGATATTTTTTTATTTTTTTTTTCAACGCGAAGATATTTCTTTATTTGCCTCGATATATTTCTATTATTCTATCTTGATCGACGTACTCGAAGATATGAGGTGCATCCATTAGTATACCTACAGTTCCCGCTGTGGTAACAATGAAAAACATGTACAATTGAAGTCTGTCGATCACCATTGCCACATACTTCCAGTCTTCCCGCGTCTGAAATTAATTTATGAATATCAAAATCATTAAACAATAGTTTACCAGGAATTTTCATGGATTTATTAAAATTAATCGAAAGCCAGAGCAAGTTTACAAATATGGAAAATTCCCGGTCTAGGCTACCAGTGCATAGGATACGCAGACGACCTAGCAATTATCGTCAGGGGCGATTTGCAGGCACAGTCTCGGAGCGATCTCAAACAGCTCTAAACATAGTGAACAACTGGTGCAAAAAGGAACAATTGTCCATTAACGCACAAAAAACAACAGTTGTACCATTCACAAAAAAACGGGTACTTACAGGACTAAGACCACTAGTACTAAACAACATAGTTATCCCATTCGTCACAGAAGCCAAATACCTCGAAGTCACATTTGACTAAAGGCTGACGTGGAATCAACATCTCAGAAAACTCACATACAAAGCTACAATAGCTCTCGTAAGCTGTAGAAGAATATGTGGTAAAAATTTGGGTCTAAACCCCAAAATGACCATATGGTTATACACAAAGGTAATAAGACCCATGATAATTTTTGGTGCAGTGGCGTGCGTAACCTAAACTGCGCAGGCAAGTGCAATAGGCCAACTCACTAGCATTCAGCGGCTTGCCTGTCTAAGTGCTAATGGGGCGATGCGCACTACGCCGACTACAGGAATGGAGGTATTATTAAATCTCATGCCACTGCATATCTTCATACAAGGAGAAACCAGGTCAGCTATTCACAGGCTAACGCAGGGACAAAACCCAATGAGGCATCTACATAGCGCCGACCATACAAGGTTATATCAGCAAGTAAAAAGGGATAATATTCTAGCTATGCCTACTGATAGAGCCATAACCACATACAAATTTGAAAGAAATTTCCAAATTCAAATACCAGTCCGAGAATCCTGGAAACAGGGACCTCCCGTACAGGCTGAACTCGTCTGGTACACAGACGGTTCAAAAACCAAGGAAGGAGCCGGTGCTGGAATCTATGGACCCAAGTCGAAAACAACGATTTCGCTGAGTTTAGGAAAATATGCAACAGTGTTCCAGGCTGAACTAATAGCCATACAACACTGTGCATGAGAAATATTAAATCAGCAAGTATCAGGCAAAACTATTGCCATATACTCTGATAGCCAAGCAGCTCTAAAGACAATGCTCTCACCAGAAATCAAATCACGACTGGTGAAAGACTGTCTAGAAGACCTGGCAGAGCTAAGTAGTCAAACTAAGGTGACCCTAGCCTGGGTTCCAGGCCATGAGGGATATCAGGGCAATGAAAAGGCCAACGAATTAGCCCGAGAAGGCTCAGATAAGGCCATGACAGGCCCCGAACCCTTCTGTGGAGTTGCTAAGACATTGTGCAAGGCATCCATTATACAATGGATGCAAAAAGAGTATCAGGAATGGTGGAACAAATATCCAAGACTGAGACATGCCAAACAGTTCATCGAGGAACCATCGGCCAAGTTCACGAAAGACCTACTGGATCAAAAGCGTTAAATTGTTAGGATAACAGTAGGCCTTTTTACTGGACACTGTCGCCTCAAAAGGCACATGAGTGTCATCAATCCAGCAGAAGAAGCAACTTGGTGCAGGTTCTGTGAAGAAGAAGAGGAAACATCATTCCAAGGCCTGTGCCAATGTGAAGGCCTGGCTGGAATGAGGTTTCTAACATTGGGCGAAGAAAAGCCAAATGCATGCAACTATAAGCGGGAGCCACTGGCAAAGCTACTAAGTCTAATAAAAAAGACCAGGCTAGACGACATACTCTAAAACAAACGGAGTCCCACAATAGATCTGAAAAGGTCGCGGTAGACAAGGACAAATAACGTCCAACTCCTAACCTAATCTAATCTAATTATAATTAAATGAGTACATGGAGCAACATACCTGTATATATAGATCTTCGTTGCGTAAATGTTCTGCTATGAATTCTACAGCTTCCGTTGCTTTCGATGCTTCTGGAGACAGTAGAATGGAATCAGAACTTTCGCTCTCCCTTCTACAGCTATCACCGCCTACACCGACCCCCAAATCGGATGCGTTGGGTTTTCTGTTGATTTTGCAATTCGGATGGTGGTGTAGATCGGATAATTCCATAACTTCCACCTTGCTTTGCGACTCGATGGAGCTGAAAACATGTTTAAACCTCTATACTGATCAAATAAATCAACTCTTGAATAAAACATGATAAAAAACATATGTAAGCAATATGAGAAAATGGTGTACTAATGTTGCTCACCTTATATTTTTTGGAATATCTGAGGGTGACCCATATGGATGCGGTGGTACACCCATTCCAGGCATCTCCATCATCCAACGCAATCTAGTTTTGCGAGGTCGTTTCATAAGTAGCATCGCTGGGAGGTAATTTAGGAACACAGATCTAATCCATGAAGGCATCCTGAAAGAATTTGAAGCTTAGATAATCTAGTAGAGGCTATTAAAGTCTAATCCTTACCTATGTGTTCGAGGACCTCTAAAATTCCAATTTATTATTACAACTGTTACTAAAATACTGACTGTATTCATTATAAAAGTAAAAAGGAGGTATTTTGCTATTAGTGGTAATACAAGAGAAGTTGGTGGCAGTATTTTGGACACCAGCAACAGAAATACAACCAGTGACAGTAAAATACTGATACCCAGTGTAACCTGCAAAGTAAAATCGAATATTAATATAAGTACTTCAAACTTTTAAAGAAATAAGTCACAAGAGCATGTCCGAGATTTGAATTGATTTGCAAGACACTCATATAAATGGGCGCCGCCAGGACAAAGGATATCATCCCATCCCCCACTCTTCCCGTTAGTTTCTAAATAAAAGTATCCACGCGCTTAATAATTTCATCCTGTGACTAGTTTTTGATATACAGGGTGTTAAAATTGCAAATTGGCTATTTTTTAAAAGGTTAAACTTTTTAACAAAGTATCTACATTGACTATAGGCGCCTAATGTATTTTTATTTAACAGAATTTAAAATAATTAAGAACCGAAAAGACTAAATTACATATAAAAAAAAATACAAGAACAATATTTTAGCTTAATCGATTGGTGAAACAAGCAGGCAGCTACGATAATAAATGGAACAAATTAAATTTGTTTACATTATAATAAGTTCAAGAAGTGCCTTATTTTTTAACGTTGGTGCAAGAGGGGGCAACCCCCATTATTTTTTCCATTTTTTCTTCTAAACAAAGATATATTACCACGAAAACTTGTAAGTTACATGTATATATGTCACCCTTTAAAAATAATGTTATATTTTTGTTAAAACATACGGCAATTTCTACAAAACGTTTTTTATTTTCCAAAAGTTAACAAGAATAGAGCTGCCCCCACCTTGTAACAAAGTCCTCAATTGAGAAAAATGTACTGTTTTAGGTTCCTTTAATATTTGTTTCAATAGATTGAATTTATATATCTGCAGAAACAAACTGCAATATTCGAAACTGATTTATTGAGAATAAAATGAAAAAAGCGGTTGGATGAATTTACATTTTCGTAAACAAAAACAGAATCATCTTTTGTTTTTGTATACTGAATGATCACTAGGTACAATACAATAGTCTACCAACCGATATAAACTATGTACTCATATGGCACAAAACATAAAATAACTATTTATTTAAAATGTCCTCCCCTTTAACATTTTAAAATATTTCTATTAATTGTTGTTTTCTTTTTCAGCGAATTTCCGTAAAAAATTTAAATCGCCGCAAATATTTCGAGAGTTAATCCGTTGCACGATATCAGTGGTCTGAGCTCATGTTCATTTCCCTCTGACAATAAAGACGTTTGATCTTAGAATGTATGTCCTCGGGTGTATCTTCCAGGATCAAATGGACAAGGCTGCAGATATACTAGCCGGAGATACATCTACGTATCAAAGGCTTGATATAGAATTGAATATGATACGATGATCATTAATGTCGTCGGAAATAGAAGATTTTCCGGACGCGTTTTAATCGGGAAAATCTACTGGAAATAATGGATATTATGGAAAAGCGGTAAAAAATACTGGAACAACACATGGGACTGACGGTGAAGGAAAAATGAGCGCTTTCAAATGGTGAGTCTTTTGATTTACATTAAGCATTTTCTATAAACAAATTATTACAATATATCTCTATATTTTATAGTTCATTTTTACTTTTATTAACATTTCTTGTACGTTGTTTTTAATTTTTATTTTTCGTGTACAGCTTTCTATATAACATTTTAGCTTGTCTATAAACAAAGACGTGCCCTCGTTACCGTTATTATTGATATTCGTGAAAAGTTAAATATTGATATTTTGACGTCCAATACCTACTGAGTTTTTTCCTTGCAGGTTATGATTTGGTTCTAGATCTGGTTAGCTTGTCAGATTTGGATACCGAAACAGTTGTCATAAAAATGACGATGTGGTAAATATGAATATTTATTGACTATTTCTATTTTATTATTAACTAAAAATCAATAATTATATTATAAGTTAAAATCACTCAAATATGCCTATTGCTTCTTTTGCTCTGATTACATTCAGGACTTCCATCCTATTCATGCTTCGTTTAGCCAATAGTAAAAATAATTTAGAGGATATAAATCGGTACGCAAAATATAAAAAATTTAAAAAATATATTGTATAAATTTCAAAAATGTTCATTCAAGTAATAATTATTTAACTACTAATATACCTCGTATGTATGAAACCAATTTTCTGTTTAAAATTTACTAGGTTGAATGAATTTTAAAATGATTGAAATTAGTTTGAAACAATTAAACTGAATTAGGAATAGATGAAATTAATCAAGGATAAATTAAATTCATTAGGGATAATTACAATTAATTAAGAATGAATTCATTTCATTTGCCATTTTCCTATTTGTTACATTAGAGTAACTTTTGTTTTATATATTTTTTTAATTTATTAATTAATTATTATTTTTTAGATGACATTCAATATCTCTTGAACTTCTTGAGATAAAAAAATATATTAAATTAAAGTTTAAAATTGTTGCCATATTACTGTAGAAGAAGGTACTCAAACTCACCCTACTAATAAATTAACATCAAAAAATAAAAATTATAGTCCAAATTAGTTTTTGGACGGTGGCGTAAAATTTAGAGGGAATGACAGTGTTACTTATTCATGCCATATGCCACTAGCAAAGTTTATTTAACTGATTTTTTTGCTGATAGGCGTATCTTATGTCACCAAAAATATTTGCTCATTTTAGTCAAATTCTACTGAGGAATAAAAAAGTTATAGAAATTAATAATTTAAAATTTTCAATTTTTTCGGAAACTGGTAATATTTAATTCAAACATGTTTCATTTAATCGTCTTATTTTTAATCAGAGAATTTTCAGGTTGTCTATGTCCCATTCTTAATGAGACACCCTGTAAATTTTTTTAATAATAGCTTCTAAAAACCGTATAGAGACAAAGTCCAACATGGTTGATATAATATGGTTTATGGATTTACAATATTATTTACTAAAAATTACACTATAGAAAATTCATAGTAAAAATTATATATATACAGTGTGGACCAAATTAAATTGGCTCACAGTGTAGATGCTACGTTACCTTTTCTCCTGCTTCAGCTGGCAAGTAGAAGACCAGCACACAGAGAAACGAAATTAGCACGGTCGGAAGTATTAAATTCACAGTATAGAACAACGTTTTCCTGCGTATTATTATGTAAAATGTAATGTCTGTTTCGGTTGGGTGGTTTCCTTCGTATATGTTGAGGTAGGCTGGCACTTCAATAATATCCCACGTTCCTGACTTCCAGTAATCGGATAAGTCCACGAAATTTTTATTATTGTATAACGCTAGCGATACCTGATCGCCGTTGAACGTCCATGAACCAAATTTCATGATGCACGTTTGTTGATCAAAAGGAAAATATGTAACGTCTATAGTACAAGAACTCTGGAATTATATAAAATAATAGATATTTAATATTTGTGCGATAAGAATCACTTATTTAATGCCTTCTTCTTCTCATGTTAGTGAATGCATCGAAAATATGACAAGTAACGTTGAAAAAAGAGAAAATAATAATGATACAGGAACATGGGCTTGTATTTAGCTCGTTCAAGTAGCTGATGACATCAACCAAAAATGCCTGGTTTAAAGGGTAAAATAAGTTAACAGAGTTAAGCTGGAAAGAGGAATCAACTAGTATGATTAAGGAGATATGTAGAGTTGAGCAAAAGCGTCTACACGAGGTGATTTGGAAGAAAATGATCCAAGAGAAGAAGAACGGCACAAAAACCTTTCTTCAACCTTACCTGGTAAATTGCTGGCGGAACCCATAAAACTTCACCATTAGGATAAATTAATACGTTTGATTTATATCTAACTTCGTAGTTTCCATCAGCACTAGAATAAATATTAACCAGTTACATAATTGCTTTTTAAATCTAATTGAATCAAAGTAAACCTAATTGAATTTATATCTAATCAATATTTAACACCAGTAATTGTAAATAAATTTTAAAAACATAAATCTTCGAGGTGTGACAACTAACGGGGCTTTAACATACTCCCAATTCATATTTATACAGCGCTGCAATACGTATTTTCCACTGCTGCAGGTCCTCAAGAGCTATCATCTTAAGAAAGTCTGTCGTTTTTATTTTGACCACTTCCGTTTGAAACACATTTCACTGTCTGTTAATATTCGTCATTTTAATATCATCAGAATATCCAAACGTCAGCCTTTGCGCAAAATTTAATTAATTTTATCACAGGACACCTACTTCAGCTAAAAACATTCAGTTGGAGTTTAAAGGTACCTTTTCGGTAGGCGCGACAGACGACCGCCGACGCGACATACGACCGCCGACGCGACCAAGAAGTGTCGCTTCACATCTAAAATACATACAATTATATGAAACACATTTCGCACGGCGAGACACTTCCTGTCGACACTTCTCGGGGCAAAGCTTTGCTGCATGTCGCACTCGGGGTCACTGTCCTCGGCACCGCTTCTTTTTGGGGGTGATTAGATTCTTTCGATCTAGGCAGCGTTGCCAGATTTTGAAACAGTATGGGTAAAAAAAACCGTAGATCTGAACAGTAGATTTTAATAAAGGGGAAATAATTATAATTTGCAGTGTAGTAAATAAAAAAAACAAGTATATAAGAAACGAAAAATAAACTTTTTTCTACCCAAATTAGAAAGTAAACAAAGAATAAAAACATTTTTAATATATACTTAACGTACGGGAAAAAAACCAATGAAAAATAATAAGTACCTACTTCTTTTAGATCAGTCTGAATTAGATAATTCAAAATCGTAGTGTTTGGCATATGCATGTTCTTTTTATGATGCCCTATTAATTCTTTGTTTCATTTTAAATAAAAACAATGATTATCTTGATGTTTTTTTTATAGAGCCAACCTACAGTAGTGGATGCTTATTACGCTGCTTTTACTGCAGAAAATTTACTAGAGAAAATATTCTTTACCCATTTGCTGAAGAATGAGGCAAATTTAATAAATTAAGAACAAAATTTGCTAGAGACAAAAACAGTAGATCTACGTGAAAACAGTAGGTCTGGCAACGCTGATTGTTCCCTCGAATGGTTATTCCTGTAAATGTCGCGCGACACTTCAACCTTGCCAAATGTACGAAGCGTAACATTTATGCACCTATTGTCCTACTCGACCTTGGGGTAGGTTCAGTGGTCGCTTGTCTCCTGACGCGCGTACCCAAATGGTACCTTCAGGAAGAATTTGATATGCAGCGCTGTTCGACTTTTAAGCTTGTCATGATGAAGGCAGACCGAATAAGGCGCCAATTGTACCGGAAGCATTATGGTTACCTACACTCCATTCCCTCTCTGCCTTTCACTAAGGCAAGCGCAGTCATGTTATTTAATTGTGACACCTCGTATGCTTTGGATTGTCAAATAAATCATCCTACCCTCGTAAATGCAATATAACTCGATAATCATAATAACAGTAAAAGCTTTTCAACTATATCTCTAGTAAGTTTATCTCGTTCTCGCTTAAATTGGCGTAGCTCCAAGTGTGAATTAATTGACAAGCTGTAATTCATACATAATTAAATTCTTTCTGAAACTTGAAAGCCTTTTAGTGTCATTGGCATCGTTTCTAATCGAAATAAGACACTACTTGGTATTCTAGATACTCTTTTTAGCGTTTCATTTTGCCCAAAAAATTAACACCTGAACAAAAGAGGCGTGTACAATGTAAACTGTACGAGACAAAACTAAAAGGAAATGAAATTCTAGAACTCAATGATTAATATATAAGGGGAAATACTGACGGAATGTGATGAAATTGTGGAGAGATGGAAACAAAATTTAATGGTAACCGCCAAAAAAATTGATTTATGACGAGTGGGAAGAAGAGTTGGACTGTTATTTAATATATTCAAAGTTTGAAGGAAATAGAAAACATTTAAAGATTTAAAATAAAATAATATTTCAGGAAATGATGGTATAGCTACCGAATTGTTTAAAATTGAGGGATCTCCTGCATGATAAAATATATGATGCAGGGAAAAATGCCTAAGGAATGGTTAAAAGCGAGGCTGTTTTCCACTATTAATACGATTTATCAAAACTCTAGGGGCTGGTATAGCTCTTTTGAATATTGCTTATAAAATTCTAGCTGTAACCATTAAAAACAGACAGTAATAAAATTAACAAGATAGTAAGAGAATACCAATGTGATTTTAGGAATGGAAGGGGAGTAGTGGGTCAAATATTTGTCTTAAAAGAATTACAAGCAGAAAGTTATGAACATCAATTAGATAAAAATGTATTATTTATTGTTTTTCAGCCAGCTTATGACAGAATTGAGAAGAAGGAGCTGTATAAAGCAATGCTAGAATTGGGAATATGATGCAATTAAAATTAAATTATATAGAAGAAATTAATGGAAAATAATCAAACATTTGGCTACAATGAACTAATATAGGGTAAAACACAGTAACCCATTAGGCTATCAAATCAAACCGAAGATATGATGATACATAACATATTTTCTCAATGATATTTCGATAAGAATATACAATCTAAAATTTCCATACTAACAAGAACACTAGTTATTTTAACTGTTTAATTTTTTTGTGGATATTGACGTACTTATTAAATAAAACTATATCTGGTTTCCAGACTTTGTCAGGCGGTAACCTGAGTACTGCAATTCCTCCATAGTCAGCCTCATCCCACTGTAGCTGGTAATCGTTCCATACCTAGAGAGAACATCTTTTATTTAAAAGAACAAAATAATATTTAACTTTCTTACCAATCGCAACCAGACATTTGATTTCATAATTTGATTTTTTTCGTTCTGTAACAAAAAGAAAAATAATTGCAAGAGAGAATGAACGTTTGAGACATTTTCCCCCATCCTGCCTTAAACCATTTCCATCGAAGTGTTTATTTCATACAGTTCAACGCTCCTATATCAAATCTTTTGATAGTCCTTAAATTTTAAGCGCGTTTAATTTGTATTTGACCCCAAAACAATTTCAAGTTTATTCTTGTGAGGTATCAAAGAGTAATTAAATGATACAGTGCCTTTTAATGTCAGCGCGAACAGTCATATCCGTAAGTAGGCATTGAAGCGTAAACAGAAGCTTTGGACTTTTGACATTGGCGGCATATTATGCGTTAAGGTTATGCTTTTGAATTATAAATGTATCTATACGTATGCTATTTCGAGATATCAAATATCAATAACACGTTTTAATATTAATAAAACTTGGATAAAATATACCTATTCGAATAGACGATGACCACTATATCGATCATATTATATTGGAGTATTTAAAGCTGACAGCTGAATATTAAATATTTGTTTCGCTGACTGAGTTGGATCCTGTTCAACTTAGTTAATTTGTTCATGGTTGATTGATCCTCATCTAGCAAGTTTGATTAGTTTCACTGTGAATAACTGATTTGTTACTGATCTATTTCCTTCGAAATGACATTGATAGTCTCTTATTTTTGTTCTACATACTTAAAACTTATACAGAACTTCTATAATTTGCATACATAGATTTATTTATATAACAATGTGAATGAAATTAATATGTATCCATTTTGCTGACTTTTCTCCACACTTCATATTTTCATTGAGCGCTTATTCACCCTTCTCTGCAATTCAATGTCAAAAGTATCCATTAATTTCATTAGTATATCAGTTGAATAAGGAAATAATGGTCTGGCAGGAATACCGCGGTTGCAAGATCTACATTTAAATTTTTGCAAGAGTAAAAAAAATATGTTAAAATTAACATGTTTTTATAAGGCTAACACATTCAGGAAATATTATTTGAATTATTTTATCTACCAGACCACTCTGGCGGTTCCACCCCAGGAAAAACCGGAACAAAATAATTGAATCGGTCATAATAAAGTTCTTACTCCAAACTTTTAAACAAACAAAAAATAATTCCGATATCTCAAATAATGACTAAGATAAGAGCAGGTAGAATTTTTAAGAAGTTTACCGACAACAAAAAAATGTTGAGATACGCTATTGGTTAGTCTCATTTGGAATACTAAGGTTTACAAAAAACAAAAAACCTGACTAACTCTCTAGGGCTAATAGTACGTCAAAAAATTATGTGAGTTTACTTAATAAATATGTCTGAAAACGTATAATAAGACCCTTCGAAGTGTTGAAGGTTACCATTTTTTCAACGATATCTCAAAAACTTATTAAGCGATTTAAACCAAATTTTGAGAGCTTATTTATAGTATTAAATTACATAATTTTAGTCGACTTTCCAAACAATTACTTCTGTGAAAGGGTAAATAAGAATCGAGGGGTTAATTTCCTCCTCTTTTTTCTATTTTGTAATTTTTTGAAGAACAAAATTCAAATTAAGATTTTTCAGTTATTATGAGGCCCTTCCTATAAGGCCTCAGTATTGCATTCGTGCAGACGAAAAAAAATTCTTATCCCCATTTTTTAAAACTTTTTTTATGTTTCCGATCATTCGGAGTCCGAAAATGCAAAAAAAATTTTTCTTCTTGGTCGTCTGTGTGTATGTATGCTGGCACAATAACTCTAAAACGAAAGTTCTGATTGACTTGCGGTTTTGATTTTCTTGAATAATTACTTCTAACTTAGAACCCTATTGATTTTCAGAATTTTCGGTTCATCCTAACTACTTTAATATCAATTTTCTTAAAATCCGCTTATGCATTTCTTATGTGACAATTTTAGGAATTTCAATTATTTCTAACGTCAACATTTATAACATTCTTTACATTCCATAAATTGCAAACATTCTCTAACGACCTGTCACACATCAGCTATTGATAGTAAAGGTGAAATTTCTAAGGCGTGTTGCGACCTTCATATTTGCAACTATAGCCACTTTGCAGGCTATTTTTATTCGAAATTAGTCGCCAAGCCTGCCAATTTATGAAAAATATATAAGCAGTTTCTTAAAAATTACTTTTTTATGGTGGTACTAACTTAAGCGTACTACTATTTCGCCCCTAGCCATAAACACCTTCATCAAATTTATTGGCTCTCTGTCGAAACCACATTTTATTTGGCAAAAATCAGAATAATGCTTGGCTGTGCCTGTCAAGTATCAATATGTCAACTGTGATGTGTGTTTAGCTCTTAAATGTCAAATTATTTAAAAATGTATGCTTCTTTTGATATTTATTGCAAATAATTTGTAGTGTATCTCAATTAAAGCTTTCCATAAATAAAGGTACAGCAAGATAGATAATATAATGTTCTTATACAAAGCACTTTTTTAATATATAAAAGAGAGGTAGGATATAATGCTGGTTTACATATTCAACCAGCGAATTGTAAATAATAATTAGTAAACTCCTAGTCATAAATTTCCTCAATTCATAAAATTTAAAATTGAATCTGCTTACCTTGGGATTTTAATGACGTTAATTTCAAATTTTGATCAATTATAATACCGAGGTATTTTGTTGTGTTTTTCATTTTAATCATAACGTTGTTATTTATTTGTATGTTGAACGAAGGCCTTTGTAAATTACATTGCTCTCTATGGATCTACTTTAACACAAAAATAGTTTTGTGGCTATAAGTTGCTATAACCTATCATCTCAAAACTATTAATAATTTAAACATAGTAAGTAGTAAAACGAGGGGTAAAATAACAATAAATTAAGGGAAATACTTAAAAAGGGTAGGTTTAAAGAGTATTATCACAAGAAAGTATATCCGTTCTGTTTATTTATCAAGTACCTATTGTTTGAGGTTACTTTTGAATACATTTATTGTTGTTTTTTTTTTAATTTCTGTAGGCAGTCTATTAAATCTTTTAAACCTTTAATAAAAATTATATTTTGGGAACTTTTATTAATGGCTTGCCGTACATGAAAGTCAGATTGGCTTCTTGTATTATAGTTATGATATTGCGAATTATATTGAATTTTTTCTAATAGATCTGATGCGATGGTACTTTGTCATTTTTATTTTATAAATAAATATCAGTCATGTACTGAACATAATTCTGAACTGAAAGTCAATTTATTTCTTTTAACATAGTTGCAATACTCATTCTTCTGTCCTTTATTAATAGAATATAAATAGGTGAAGTAAGGAGCCCAAATATTTTACATGATCAGGCTTAAGAGGTAAATGGGCCAATTATTATTGGATAAATTGCTCGAACAAGTTTTTAAACCCTAATCAAATGGCGATATAGAATAGTTTTAAAAATCAAGGCTTGTGAAAATCATCACATGGTTGAACCTAAGTAATTCCAATGCTTTACAAAACAAAAAATTCAACGTCCCAATACTACTATCGGCTTTCAGTAATTCGTTCCAAGTTAAATCATTTCTCGTTTTTGTTACGCTACGAGTTCATTCTTGTGGGCCTCAGTCTCGATAAGGCGGCGACCACCATTTTAGCGTCTCTTGAATTTTTACATTAAAAAGATATGCTTGGAAAATGTCGGAAAAACGAACCGTTTAGTCATTTAGTAAATTTCAAGTTGTTTGTCTTCTTAAGTAAATCACATTCTCAGTAGGCTGTGAAAACATTTCACAGTGACGTTAGTTATTTATTGTTTGACAGTTGCTAGTTTGCGCTTTATTTTAAAACCTGAATAACAATATTGTTTGCTAAAAAAAAATATAAATATGTTGATGAGCTTAGGAGAATATTTAGGAAATTCAACTGCGACATTTAGAAGATATAGTGAAAAATTTTCTCACAAAAATCTACCATCTAAAACACATGCAAAACTAATTCTTGTCGTTTAAGGTATATTAGAACAGTAGAAAATTAAAAAGAAATTATGAATATCGTTTATAACGCTCCAACAATTACTATTGGAGGATTATCATTGAGAGCAAATATACACCTATAACTACTACATGGCGAGTTTTGAGAGAACTACTGAAGGGTTCAAGATTTTTTACCAAAAGATATCCCTTGGGGTAGGCATTTTGTAGGCTTCTGGCTAGAAGGGAGGCTAGACATAATATTGTTTTGCAAAACAATTTACAGACGCTACACCCTAATACACCCTACACTCCGTAATGAATTTAGGCACAAAATAGCAACCTAAATCGTAGAGCCATAGTAACTATTGCTCGATTAAAGTTTGGTTACGCTGCTACTCTCAACATCTTCACAAAATAGACATTTTTTAAACTGTACAAAATATCCAGCACAACGGCACTTACTGAATGAAAAAAATATTATTCATAAAATAATTATACCCTATGATCCAAGGTACATTTCTAAATAATCTCTGTATTTAATGCCCTTTTGGATTTCGTAAATTCATGTAACTTAAATTTTTAAAGCTTGCTTCCTTTGTAATCTATCCTTGATCTATACCCATATTTCATTCCACTCCGAGGTCTAACTCCCACTGTGTAATAAAGTCACCCTAAATGATCACTGGGTGTGAAATGAGTTACCCCATGTCCCATGCTGATGTATTAATGTATAGGTTAAGTTTTGGTTCGTTATCACTTGACAAACTCAATTCATGTATCTATGATTATATACTCGAAAGCCATAAAAATAAAAGAAAATGTAGTTTCTAATGGTCCAACCATTAATACTTAATATTCCTTCAACTACTACATGGTGAATTTTGAGAGAACAACATTTAGGGAAGACCGGAGCAAAATGATCCCCCTAAGATTTGACGTGATATAACTAAAGTTGTATTAAAGCTACATAATTGCAAATTGGATGGAAGTTAAAACAGTCTTTAATCTTGCGTATGCTGACATTTAAATCATTTTCAAGTTATTCTAATTTTCATTAATTGTAACTTCGTATATAATTGCCGAGTGTGGCAAGATGATCTACGTATAGGTAAATCCATAAATATTTGTTTATTTTGTTATTCTAAGACAATTAAAGCAACAAAATGTTATCTGTATAATATTTATTTATTTCAAAAATGAATATAGACAATGAACAAACTCTTAACTCATTAAAATGCTTTTTACGACGCGTTTTCTTTTTCAAAGGTTTGTACCTGCAGAAATCGAAACATAAATCATCTTCACTTTTATCCACCCCTGACCATGCCTCGTGTGCTCATTGAAGACATCCACTGCATTTAATCCATCCCACTCCGCTGGTATATCATTCACCGCAAATCAAACATTCTGGATCACTTTCCGACTCAGAAATTGAAGTTGATTCTCCTTTTCGTCTCTCAGATTTATTTTAAGGATGGTCATCCTTTTTAGATTCGCTGTATCTTTATTAGTGCCCTCTTTTTTGTGCACATCCAAGGGCTGAAGTCTGTGGGAGGTACTAGAGGGCAAGCAAAAGAGGACGACATTATTTTTTCAGGCTTTGTCAATTACTTTCAAATATTTAGTATGGCACCTATAACCATCTAAAATAAATAGAGTCTTTGTTGGAAGGTTTCGCCTAAATTAAAAAGTGGTCAAACCAAATAAAAAAAAATTGTCATCCAACCATTAGCATTGCAGGAGAGTATTCATTCTCTTGCGAGTATAAATGAACAACAACCGAATATAATTTCCACCAACAGAAGTGCAAATTACAACAGTTATGAACATTCCACAATCGGCAGATGTTATCCTTGAAACTTGCTTTCTACCTCTCATTACTTAGAGTTATGGCCAGGAACTGTACTGATCGAAGTCTTGTCGACATTGAATATGCGATGCGTCGGTAGTTGTTTGTCAGCCGATTCGGATTTTACTAAATCGAAGAATGTGTCAACGACCACGTTGTTGAAACCGCGCGCCCTTGCTATGGACGTCGATTCTGGACTCCTTAAAGACACGTTTGGATGCCTTTTCCTAAATTGGGCAAACCAGTCCTTTTCAGCTCTTTGACCGGTTTTTAAAAAAGTGATGGTTTTTCGCCAGTTAAAAGGTTAGAAATCGAACAGTGGGCTTAATACGTACATTCGCGTAGCTTTATTAAATATATACCTTAATAACTCAGCTTTCTGATCTTCCGTAAATACACAATGGGTAAATCTAAGCTTTTTCGATGGCTAAGGAAGAACACCATCAGCTCTTTTCTTTTTATTAAGCTGCTTAAACGCCATTCTTGGTACTTTAAAATTGGTGGCAGCTATCCGTACGAACATTCCATTTTCAACAGCTTCAACGTTATTTTCCATATCTTCCATCTTCCAATTTTGTCTTCGGGATTTTCTATTCGAATCATAATTTCCTCTGAAAGTAATTTAAAATATTGGATTGTCTTCTAATAACTAATAAATTTATCCAATACAAACGTTCTGCCTCGATTCATAACAGATCGTTTTGTCCTGTTTCTTAAAATTTAAGCAAAAATGCAACATGCACTGATTACAGTTCGTTATACGAATGTGTCATAATAAGGTTCCCGTTAGCATCCTTTTTGATTGCTTGCATACACAATATTGATTAACAAAATACTATATTAATTATAAAGGTCTTAATAAGTTACTTACGTTAGATTAAACACGCAGAAAAACTTGTTTACATCTCATAATCGTATTTCATGCGAACACGTGGACGACTTGAAGCAAATTTCCCAATTGCGCCGATAGTGGATCGGAATGCCCCACGGGATCATTTTTCCCCGGTCTCCCCTACATCCCTATCACTACCGAAGGGTCCAAGAACTTTTACCAAGAGATTATCCTATCCTTTGATGGAAGCATTTTGTAGGCTTTTGGCTAGACATAATCATTTTCCGCAAAATATATTATTTACAGACGAAGCGATATTTATCCACAATGGGAAACAATTAAATTGGATACCTTATTTTTGAGCAATATCTAAATAATAAAATTTATTACAATTTTTTGTCTGATACACTTTTTGAAATATTTCAAGATATTCCTTTGAATATAAGAAATAAAATGCATTTTATGCACGATGGAGTTTTGCGACATTTTAATCTTTTACCTAGACAGTGGTCGAGTGAAAATTTTCTACGACGAATTGGACGAAGCGCGGAGGCTGCAATACAATGGCCTTCTAGGTCACCTGATCTGACACCTATAGATTTCATGATATGGAATTATGTGAAACAAAAAGTTTATGCTACAGAAGTGATAAAATTATAAGAAATAAAATGCATTTTATGCACGATGGTGCCGCGACATTTTAATCTTTTACCTACACAGTGGTTGAGTGAAAATTTTCCACGATGTTGAATTGGACGAAGCGCGGAGGCTACAATATAATGGCCTTCTAGGTCACCTGATCTGACACCTATAGATTTCATGATATGGAATTATGTGAAACAAAAAGTTTATGCTACAGAAGTATTAAGGGAAAGGATAATAAATACTTTTAATAAACTACAAAATAACTCGGAACAACTTTAAAGAATACATTTTAATAAACTTTTGTATTCATTGTAGATTTATTTATTCTTCTAAAATATTGCCGTTAGTTTTGTTTTTTTTTTTAATAAATCTTTTCTCTTAAAAAATAATTTGACTTGAAAGAGGTAAGGAATTTGAAATGCAAGAGACGAGACTAGAATGAGTTCTCCGAGAGATTTTTCTCACAATCTAATATTAGTAATTTTATGCGAATTTCAAATAATTAAAATATTGGTAATAATTTCCATCATAATTTGATAAAAAAATATAAGGAAGATATCTGTGAGACCGTTGCTAGGCAATATAACAAGTTATTGATAACTATTTAGCTGGTTACATATTGGACGGCACTTTTAATAATAAAATTGTCTTTATATGCTTTCAAATATGTCTAGCAACTAAATTGAATGAATACCCCACTGGAGTCAGTAGAAGGCAATTTTATCATCCCACTCATCTTCAAGCTAACCTAACCAACTTTATTCAGGAATGTATTTTGTTCGAAACATATATTGTCAATAAAGACAAAATTGTGTGTAGATACTTACGACATTGATGAGTTGAACAAAGGCTAGGCCAAATCTGACATCCACCTTTTCAGTCATATTCTGAACTGGTCGAATCAGCTTGTTGTAACCCCTGAAAAGGTCTCGTACTAATCGCTCTTCGTCTTCAGAACAATTCCCTGAAAAAAAAAAATGTTCAATTGAAAAAGATATATAATACTTTCACAGTTTAGCAGACCTCCACTTAGCCCCCCATATTTAATAATTTTTTTTTGAGAATCAATAGGTTTCATCCCTTTAAAAAGCTTGATTTTTCCTGAAGATTTTGAATTGATATCGTTCTTTGTTCAGAGTTAGGATTTTTTTTAATATTCCGACCCCCTATTTTTCTTGTTTTTTTCAGAATTAATTGGCTTCATTCCCTCATACAGATTGGTTTTTACTAAAAATTTCATGTTGATATCGCTTTTCGTTTTTGATATATGATTTTTTTAATTTCAACCCCACTTAACCCCCATTTTAATTCATAGGCTTCGTTCCCTTTTGAGTTTGATTTTCTTGAAAATTTCAAGAAGATATCGTTTTTCGTTCGCAACTCCCCAATTTTAACCAGATTTTTTAAATCATATAATTTTTCGTTTTTGAGTAAGTTGTTTTATGTATTTCAACCACCCTTAACCCCCATATTTTTTAGATTTTTTTCGAAATAATAGACTTTGTCCCTTTATAGAGTTTGATTTTTACTAATAATTTCATGTTGGTATCACTTTTCGTTTTTGAATTATATTTTTTTTTTTCAATTTAAACCCTAATCTCCATTTTTATTCATAGGCTTTACTTCCTTATAGAACTTGATTTTTCTTGAAACTTTCAAGTTGATATCGTTTTTGATTTATGATTTTTTTAAATTTTAACCTACCTTTTTAATCAGATTTTTCAAAATCATATCAGTAAGGGGTTTTTTAATATTTTAACGGCCCTTAACCCCCCCCTTATTTTTATTCAGATTTTTCAAAACAAAAAGCTTACTACCCCTATAGAACTTGATTTTTCCTGAAAATTTTTCGTTTTTGAGTTTTAATATTTCAATCCCTTCTCAAACCCTCATTTTAATTCAATTTTTTTAATAATCTTTATCCCCTTATAGAGCTTTCAGTTGACTAAAAATTTTCTGTTAATATCGCTTTTCGTTTTTGATTTAGGATTTTTTTTTAATTTAAATCCCCTTAACCCCCCCTATTGTTATTCATGGGCTTCGTTCTCTTATAGAGCTTGATTTTTCTTAAATATTTCAAGATGATATCGTTTTTGTTTTCCATTTATATATTATTTTTTAATTACAACCCCCCTTAACCTCCCTTCTTTATTCAGATTTTTTTTAAAATCAATAGGGTTGTCCCCTTATTTTTCGTTTTTAACTTATCGTGCAGACAAAAAACGTGACATCGGACGGACGGACATTTTTTAAAAGTTGTTTAAAATTTTAATAGAAGGAATTTGGGACAAGCATTTTTAAATTTGGATTATTATTAAAAATTTTAATTTGAGAATAAGAGCCGAAGTCAAAACATAAATTTGAATATTATAATTAATAGATCATAAATAAAATAATTAAGAAATTTGGGTAAAATTCAACAACGACTAGACAGGCCTGTCCTAAGGAGGAAGATGTCTAATTTTAATATAATTTTAAAAATTTTACATTTTTTTTAGTTTCGAAATTTAAAATTGTGGGCAGATTTAATGATACAGAGTTTCTGTGGTAAACACAGTGAAATTTTAAAATATACATTTTACACTGCTCAATAATTGAACTGGACAATTCTAATTGATTAGAAATTATAAATTAAAAATGTTAAAATAATTTTAAAATGGTAAAAAAATCTCTATTTATCTATAGCTGACATTTTTAGGCCCCAACAACTACTAATTTTATTTGTAAAAATGTAAATTTCTCAATAAAAGAATTTTATAAATTGTTACTTTTTTTACTCCTACCTTATGTTTTCTATTGAAGAATAGTTTTGTTTTGTGTCTTTAATTACATTATAGAATTAATGTATCATTTGTATATAATAACTTGCAGTTTTTAATTTAAAAATTTTTACTTTAAAATTTAAAATATATCCATTTCAATTTTTGAGCAGTGTAAATTGTAAATTTTTTGTTTAGCAAACAAATATTATTTTTATTATCCGGCAAGTTATAGCGCAAAAAATAAATATCTGCATTTTTAAAAAAGTTGCATTTACATTTTCAGAATGTTTTAGCTCGAACAAAACAATAATGTTTTTTGTAAATATTTTTAAAATTTGAGTGATCTAAATCATTTTATCAATGCTTCAGTTTTTAGAATATTGTTTATTGTACGAAATCATTTTTAAAACATTTTAAAGTATAATAATGGAAAATATAAAATAATGGTTGTGGAATAATGAATTAGTGGTGATCATTATTTCAATTTTTGAAGTAGTTGTCGTGTGTTTTTCTTGGATTTAGCATGATGTCCTAAAAGGTAAGAGTTGTTGTTTCAAATTGACGATGAATGTGTTTCAAAAATGCTACGTATGTGTTAATATTCTTTGTCTGAAGAAAATGTTAAAGGGGAGGGGCAGTGTTTACATGTCAGTCCCAGCATGGCAGTGGGTGTGCCTTTGGACGAGACTACAATATATGTACCATCCTTACCTATGAGGACGAGACAAGAAATTAGAAGCAAGGAAAGAATGCGATGGGCCACCACGGCCTGACACATAACGAGGTACATGTCACTCGAAATTATCACTGGATCATCGACATCGGCCTCTGTTCTTTAAATTCATCGCTCGAGAGTTACAATCATCACCAGCAGCTCCAGTACACCGAGGACCGGAAACAAACTCGAACTTAAAACAAAAATCCGGTGATAGGATAATCCGCACTTTTCTTTCCGGCATTTTCACGATATCGTCGAAACATTCTTGTGGATCGCGTTTCCGATTCACACCCTCGCATTCATTGTGAGAGAGGAGCCGTGCATCGTGATGTTACGGTGAAACGTTACGTTGGCTCTCTCCCATGTGTTTGCTCGTGTTTTTGGTAGATGGCAGGGCGGCAGCGCAAGACGACACCCTTAGACCAATCCTAGCTCCGATTTGGGAGGATATCGACCGTTGGAGGGATCGGATGGAGGATTGCGCCCCAAATTGAAGTTCGGACCAGCGTTGTCAGAATTACTGATTTTTCTTCTACTAATATACTAATTTGTTCTATTAATAGTTAATATTAATGTTGCATCCACAGAGTGATTTGCCACATTATGTTACATACATAAATTCAATAAATATAATAAATAATACATATTAATTAGATTGTAGACAATAAATGTTGAGTAATTAACAAACTTTTAGAAAAGCAATAATCTGTGATATATAACAATTTTGTCCTAATAAGAAAATATGCTCTGCGGAAAACGATTTCTAATTCTTTGTTGATGACACTTTAAATATTCTAGTAAAATATGTTGTACTGGCAATTGTACATATTGACCGCTCATCTTTTCTTATGATGTACCCGTTGGTAAGTCGTCTATGATCTGTGATCTATGATCCAGTCTCAGACTAGTGATTATGACTTGAGCCACTCATTTTCCCCTCACGTAACACTTGCTTTTTAAATGGACTTTTAAATCGGTAGATAGACACTACCTGCGAACAATATTCAGCACTCTCACTGTTTAATCGCTTGATGCCCACTTTTATCAGCCTTTTCGTTTCCTAAGATACCTGTGTCCACATAAACTGTAACACATTTCTGGAACGCTAGAAGCAGCTCATATTTAATAAGTTGAGTAAATTCGTTGGAGGGAACGTAGACAGCTTAATCAGTCAGAAGAGATAATGGCATGAGAATGATTCTTCTGCTTGGCGTATTGCATCGCGCGATATATGGCATAGTTTGGCCGAGAAGATACTGATGGTGAGTAGTGAAAGTTTAAATTGGTGTCCGTCATTTAGATTATTAATAAAAAAAACATCCTACCCCTTCGTTAGTCTTAGAGGCATCAGTATAAATTAGGTGATAGTTATTATAATTTTTCGACAACTCTTGGTAAAAGTTTTGCTTATTTAAATCTATATAATGTTTTGTATTTATTATACGAGTACTCGGTCATAATTATTTTGCAAGTATTTAGATACGTACATATATAATTTTTTATGTTTATTCTGAAAAAGTATTCATGTATTTATAATAGCGCAAATTAAATAGGTGTACAATAGTTTTTACACTTCCCTCGTTCACTGTCTCACTGGAGTAGCGTTGATAGGAAGGGGGTGAAGGAAATCAATCCCCCATGAGTCTACTAAAATTATAAGTGAATTAAATATACGGCTTTTTATTTATGTGTAAGCATTTTTTCAATAATTTATACATTCAATTTTTATTCTTGTTTTTGTACCACAAAAAGATGATTTTCATTATTAAAAAGTAAAACTATAAAAGAAAAATTTACGGAATTTGATATGTAATATCGCCCCACCCCATCGCAATTACCTATCTACGTCACTGTCTCACTGAGGTAGGGTATCCTCTTTTACAACAAAATTTTCCCTGAATTTAAATATAATAATTAACGATGGCTGTGAGGTCAGTGCAGGGATCCCAGATCTCACGATTTAGTACTGAGTCTCACGATCTCATGATAATGTGCTTTATTCTTACGATATTTTTAAACAAGCTGAAGTTTTTATGTAAAAACAATTATTTTTAATTAATCATATAATTGAATTATGTTGTAGAGTCCGACTCTGGAACGCTTCGGCCGAAACATGGCTGATGACTGACACTTGACAGTCTCAGCGGTGGTTCCCGACTGTTGCATTTGCAGGCTTGCAGTGGTCAATTTCCTAACCACCTATTCTTAACAAATTCATTTTTTCTAAATAAATATTGTGAAATATTTAAATGGTCCTGGAAAATAGAAATCCTCTCTCTTACCCCCAAAAAATATGTTACCCTTTTTGATTAAAACCTAGGTACCTCTCCGAAAGGAGAGCCAAAATGACAGAAACTTATTTTTCTGTTGTACGTGTACGTATACAGAATATATATTAATCGAATATGCTGTATATTTTACCAAATTGCGCATGAATTGTACAATCTCACAATTATTCACGATTTTTTCATAATCAAATTCACGATTTTAGGCTCAGTATTTGGGATCCCTGGGTGTCAGTGAGATGAGTGTGCGTAGTAATAGAAGTCATAAGTATTGTCTATTTTTATAAAAAAATAGGGAGTTTTTTTAGTAGGTAGTAGTAGTAGTTTAGTAGGGTGTTTCTAAATTCATGCGACAAAATTCAGGAGGTGATTGCTCAATTTTAGGCACCACCTTTTAAGGGTGATATCTCGGAAAGGGATGGTCTGAGGAAATTTTGTTTTAGGAAAGATCCATCTTAATTTCATACGAGCAATCACCTCCTGAATTTTGTCGCATGAATTTAGAAACACCCTGTATAATTGTTTTTGACAGTTTTTTTAAAAACACTATATTCTGTATATTGCCAATATCAAACGGACTCTGATTATGAAAGTGATGCCCATTACTTTCCGTATATTTGGTATAAGCAGTTCTTTACATAAGCCTTTGTCGTCTTATTTTTGTGTTATTTTTTTATTTTTGTAGTTCAATTTATTTATTTACCAGTATTTATTTAGAGCCTCATTATATTTTATGTTTAAGAAAACTATTTAAAATTGAATTTTTCAATAACAACTTTTTCCAATTTTATGTATCGTTGAACTTATTTAAAAAAAAAATTCTACTAATTTTTACTGATTTTGTCAACTGGTAAACACTGAATAAATAAAAACCACCTGGCAACACTGGCTCGGACATATGACACCGTGCAAAGTCGTAACTAGAGTGGATCGAGCGGGTGAAATCCCTCTTTTTTACTTTTCCATTTCTGTCCTTAATTTTTAGTTTTTCTAGATCGGCTTATATTTTATTATTCTACGTGATAGATCTATAATTTTATCTAATATGAGTTGAATATTTTAACAAAAAACTTATCGTACCAATTTCTTTCAACCGCTCAATATGCATAAGCGTAACGAATTCTGTTTCGTTATAAAATATTTCATATTTTATTGATAGATCTCTCCTGATTTCTGTTAAAAACTGTTACAAACGGTTAAAAACTGTTAAAAACTGTTAAAAACTGTTAAAAACTGTTAAAAACTGTTAAAAACTGTTAAAAACTGTTAAAAACTGTTAAAAACTGTTAAAAACTGTTAAAAACTGTTAAAAACTGTTAAAAACTGTTAAAAACTGTTAAAAACTGTTAAAAACTGTTAAAAACTGTTAAAAACTGTTAAAAACTGTTAAAAACTGTTAAAAACTGTTAAAAACTGTTAAAAACTGTTAAAAACTGTTAAAAACTGTTAAAAACTGTTAAAAACTGTTTAAAACTGTTAAAAACTGTTAAAAACTGTTAAAAATATAAAAAATGTTTCAATGGCGTAAAAAATGGGGGTAAAAAGTGGCCACTAACCTTGATAGCGCACCAGTGGGTAAATTTTTCGAAAATTATTTAAAAAATTTAAAAAATCTAAAGGCGTTTTTGATTTATGGCAAATTCTAAATTTTTATTTTAAATTTTTAACACCCTGTATCTCGGTAACCCTTTAAGGGTTCTGGTATAGAGCGTTATCGGTCGAATATACTAACATTCTGTAAATTTTAAAAAATGTGTTAATTAATCTTTACGGGAAATGCCTCAAAATCACTGTTAACATTTGAACATTATATCTTATTTTCATGATATCTTATAGAACTGGTTTCGAAAATATATGTATGTATGGGTAGCGCCTCCAAACTGCTTCAAAAATTTTGAAAATACCTTTATTCCAAATTTTGGGATTTCGTAATATTTGTATATACCTTTTTGAAATTTGGTAGAGCTCTTAGAGGAAATCAGCCCCAAACTGCATCTTTCTAGCTCAAACGGTTGCAAAAATATTTAACGCAGGGGCACGTTCGGAAGGTAGTGGTTTCGATCCCCACTGCTTCTTGATATACTCTCTGCTATGAATTTTTTCAGAGGTTTTCTCATAGAAATAGGCAAAGCTGGGTCAGTAACATTCTCTGAGATACTTACCATAATTCCTAATACGTCCAGTGCGGTTAAAGAGGCTGGGAAAGCCTACAGCAAAACACCTCCAACTGCGAGAATGAAATACACATCCTTTGTCTTTGTGCTTTTTTTACACGTTCACCGAATTAATTAATTTTAAAAGATGTTAAAAAACATGTTCATTACACCTACATATTTAACATTTCCGCAAGTATTTAAATATTAAAATAAGTAAAATTGTTTTATTTTCTTTATCGTATATTATTCAGATATATTAAAAAGGCACATCGCTTTTATTTTGAAACATATTCCGGTTAGACCCTCTTTGAACTTTTTTTTACTACGGCATTGATCAACATCTCCGGATTTTTCATCGTGTTGTTTGGAACTAAATTGGGAAAAATCCCGTTATTAGAATTCCGATAACGTCAATAATTAGTGCCGTAAATCCACTTAAATAAGCAAGGCGCTTCATTTCAGTTTAACAAACGGTGTATAGGGCGTCACAACATTCTTAACATAGCTACGCGGGATATTCTGGAAAAAATCCCATATACAACTATAATAGGGGAGACCTGGGTTAATTTTTATATTATTGTTTTTTAACGTTTTGTTGGATTTATTAATCTAATAAGACAATAAGATATATAACTATTAATATATGTGAAAAAATCAAACCTATATTATTAAGGCTTATATTCAAGGCCTTCTAATCATACTTTATTGAAAGTCTGAGCTACTTTGTAAGTAACCTCGAACAACTCAAAAAAGTTTGATTTTGCACACATAAAACCCAAAAGAAATAAAGTTTTACATAAAAGAGTATCGTAAACTGGCAGTTTCGGGCAGTTCCGTCTACTAGAGAGCAGTTGCGTCAGTTTGGCAATCTGTAAACTGACAACTCTTAGCAGCAAAACTGTTACATATTCAG